TCAATTCTTTGTGGCAACATTGCTGCAAAATTTCCCATAAAACAACAGGAGATCAAGAATTTCATCCAAAGTCTTCTACTTTTACAGTTGATAGTTTGTCCCGTATTCTTTGGCTGGATACACAATTTGTGTACATTTAAAGCAGTTTTGATTGGATTTTGGCCTGTATTCTGGTCCTGTGTGTCCTCTCTGTGGTCAGTTTGTGGTGAGAATGGATTTCTCTCTTCTTTGCTCCACACATAAACACTGGCATTGATTGACTCCTCTTGTATTTAGAGTTAATACAGACAGGCTGATCCACCAGTTCCCAATTCTGTTTTTTTTTCCCATAGTCCTCTGCTCCTCTGCTGAAGCTGATTGAAATGTTTGCATGTATGTTTCTCTCATACAGAGGTGAGAGGATTTGCCTGTGTCTCGGAGTGGCTCGGAAAATCCAGCTCGGTCCTAGACACCGAAATAATTAATCCCCTCGGTGTTGGCTCTTCTTTCACCCTTTCAATGATTCTCGTAGCGGCTTACCAGCCCGCCGGAGTCTGGAAGAAGAGCAGAGGAAATAAAAGGCAGCCAGAGATTCATCAGAGATGAGGACGTCTTAATGTGGACTCTCTCCCTCCATCCCCCTTCAAATCCAACCCCGCATGCTCTGGAGACCATGAAAGACCCCTCATCCCTCATTCATGATAAAGAAAAGATAATTTAGCTAGTTTCATTTCCTTTTTCAATTATGCTCGGAGGACTTTGTTGTGCCATAATTAACATTTTCATGGTTGAAAAGTGCAAAAAGAAGCATTCCAAGCTAAAACTCTGGTGGAGAATGACCAGTTATTGGGATAGTAATTATGTTAAGGGGAACTATAATTCAGTCAGCAAAACTTACAGTACACTCACCTGCCTTCATTCAACCTTTACATTACTGAGAGTTTAACCCTTTTTTCAAATGTTTGATTTTGTGAGTAAAGAAAATACTGCACTGATGTGCTGTTAGAGGATGAATCTATTGGTCTAGAACGTTTACATTATGTAGAGGCTCTTTTAAGAAGGTTCTTCACACTTCATTTTGTTTACAAAAAACATCAACTGAAAGGCTCTTTTGAGAACCAAAAGTGGTTCTTCTATGCAACCTTTATTTTTAAAAGTGTCTCAAAGCATTGTAATTACAGGCGAGCTAATTATTAAATTGGTAAACATTATTTGGATATTTAATATTATTGCATTTAAAATGTCACCACAGACCTATACATAATTTCTAAATATCACAAAAAAGTAGTTTTCTATAGTAAATATAGTAAAGGCTATGGTTATATATAGAACCATTTGAATGCTATAATAGCTCTTCGTGTAGTTAAACCTGTTATAGATGGTTCTTTGAAGAACATTAAATGGTTACTTTTAAAAAAATGGTTCTATATAGCACCAAAAAGGGTTCTGCTGCTGTTCCACATAATAGATTTACATATTTACATAAGTACATTTTTTTTTTGCATTTCATGTGTATAAATATGGTTTAAGACTGCAAATGTTGTTCAATTATTATCATGAAAGTAATAATTCTTTGTCAGCAGAAAGTCTAGCCGAGTGTTGGAGCACATGGGAAATTCCTACCAGGTGTGTCTCTACTGGGCTTAAGATCATTCAAGCAGAATAGAGCTTTTAAAGACAGAGAGGCTATGGAGGCTCGTCCATGATTACAGAGAAAAGGGGGCATGGTTTCCACAGCAGGGCTTCATATTGACTACAGTAAATATGGGGAATATAAACTAATCCTACCAGTAAAGGCTGCAGGCGCTCCTGAAACTCATGCAAATCCATTGACCGTCTTCTCTATAATCTTAGTATTAATCTCAGCTTTAGCAAGGTTGTTTATTAGTGTGCTTCCCTTGAGCGTGCGATAACATCGGCTCTAATATCTCTATAATGTTTTGCAGGGTGAGGAAGACTGTCCTGTAGCGCTTCAGAAATGCCTATCTAATAGTGTCTTCACTCATTATCTGTCTTTGTTCATAGTAATATAATATATACAGTGTGTAAATTTTATGGTTTATATGAATAACTCAAAGAAATGAATATGTACAATGTTCCACTATATTTTGTTGGTAATAATGTTTTAAAATTGTTGTTTAAACATTCATGTTTAACCAATTTAACACATTTTTTAAGTTGTAATATAAGTGAAATGTATCTTTAAATAAAATCTCATTTTCATTGTGAGCAAGGGCAACTAATGATCTCCACAATTACTGTATATTTTCACTTTGCCATAAGCTACAATTAAACTACAAAAAGGAAGCAGTATATGACTTTGACCATATGACCTTATGACTCGCTAAGTAGATGCTTGCTTTGTTTTATAACAGAATCTTCTGTAGAAGTGACCTTATGTGAATTTCATTCCCTGATCGGATGGTCATAACCATACAGAAACCAATAACACAGTTTAATAAACATAGTAACTTTATTAGTAATTAGTATAGTGAGAATTAACCAGTTTCTGTTGCACCTACTGAAGGGAGTTTCTCACATGTTAAACAGCAGTATTTAGAAGTGGCCTAATAATGGTTTAATCTATAGCATTCATTTTATGCATAATGTTATATAGATATTGTAGAGAGTGCAAAGTGCAGTGTCTCTGTGCCTGTACACTGGTGCCGCAGCATGTGTCCATACCAGATGACTTAATTACTGTCTCTGCAACGATGCATTCATTAAAAGCCTTTACAAATGAGTACACGGCCACCACTGTGAATCGCTATTAATAAGCAGTGGGCACCGGGACCAGTGGGGCCCATGAAGGGCAGTGTGATACGAATGTCTTATTCTGCAGCGCTCAGTTAGAAGTGGCAACCACAATCAGAAGGTGAGACTGAAAATTGGTGACATATAAGGTTAAAGTTTTAAGACATAGAACATGGAATATAACACACAGATAACAGCGTAATGCTATTATATTGTGCTTAGTGAGGCTTTATGAGAGTTTGTGTCAGAGTGTATCCTGGCATATTTTAACAATTTTGTAATATTGCTATTATTGCTGTTAAAAATTATGTTATTATTTCAATCCTGCAAATGAATATGCCATAAGACCATAATCTTAATTTCAGGCATTGGTTTCTGCTGATAAGTTCTTTTTTGCACAGTTTTATTTCTGAGCTAATACTGGACGTGCAAGTCTAATGCCAATCTGACTGGTCAAAGGGAAACCAACAATTTATTCGATAGCTGCCTCATACCAACCCTGTCTGACTCTCTGTGTCTTTGCATTATAATGTAAATGGCTGTGTAGAGCTAGTGAACTGAGCAAAGCACATTTATGGCACTTTTCTGGTTTGTTTACCCATAAATAAATAATCAGCGCTACAAAGTGAAATGAAGCGTTTTAAGAATAGAAAGGGGAAAGATAGTGCACTGTTGGCAAGTCAGCCTACAGGTGAAAGCTATCCAAAGGGAAAAAAGGGTGCACACACTAACAGGTGAGGTTATTAGGACTGGGCAGAAATAAAATGGCTCCTATAGTATTGAGTGAAATTTGTAGCACAAACTGCTACTGTTGCAGATGTTTACATACATTTGTGCCATAGTAAAATATGAAAGGCGTGCACAGAGATACAATGTACATTTCAGTGAAGAGTGAGTATTACAGTTGAGCCTTAATAGCCTTTTGTTCTCTAATAATAAATAAAAATGTGAATAAAATAAAATAAAATATAATAAATCATATAATTGCTAGGGTAGTGTTGGGGTTTGGAACATTCTAATGTGGTGATCTGTAAAGATAATACCACAGTATTGTCAATTTCATATCTCAGTGCTCACTATATTGATTTCATATGTCAGTGCTTTAATATCGCAGCAACACTATATTGCGCAGGCCTGATGGTTATCATATTGTGTCAGATGAGAGTGTGAATATTGCTGCAACACATTAAATCTCCATTTGATTTATAACACAAAACTTAATTCTGTCTCACTATGGCGTCAGCATCATTTGATGAGATGCAGCTTGCTGTTTTCTTGATTAGGTTTGATTTTTTGACAATCAAACCAAATAAAAATGTGTCTGCTTCAGCTGTGCTTGCTGCTGGGAGAGACAGTGACACAAAATCAAGAACAAAGAGAAAAGACAGGCAACATTATTGTACTATTATTGTTTTTATTGAAAACAAAGAACACATTCACAACAAATTCAATACATAACACAATACCTAATATGTAACCTTTATTTCTGTCTATGTTCTTGTCCTTTGTGATAGCCACATATATAAAGTATATCTTTGTGTAATATGACTATAACATACATGACTAATGTTAATAAGGAGGCTTGTTGTTTGTGGTCTAGCATGCTGCACTCTGGTCAGAGTTTCTACACTGATCAGATGGACTTGCTGCCCCCTTGTGGTGAATTCGTTTTATTGCAGGTAAAAGAATGACGGTGGTTGAGAAAAGCTTCACATGGCATCGAGCAGACAACCCTGATATTTTCCATGATTATCTTTCAGTCTTATATTGCGGTTTACTAAATGGCACTTTAGACTGGGTTAATCAGCATCTCCCACGACGGAGGATAAACTTCTCTCTATTGGGTGATGAAACGTCAGCCTGCTCTCTTCCCACTAAATAACTGAAAGCCTTTATTATGGATTTGCTGCAAAGTTTCTGGTTTATTTTACACCATTTGGACTGTTTCCCTCATAATACACTATCTTTCTAAAAGCCCTTCTAATTAGTGAATTCAGTTACCTTGCGGTGCCTGAATGTTGACACGCGCTTTCGACTGCGCACAGTTTGTATAATCTTCATAGAAAAGCACTGCCAGTACAGTAAGACACTCTGGAGCAGCCACACACGAGCCTAAGGTCACCCTAACCAATGTCAAGCGGTGGCTAGAGGGGCATAAAGCGCTCCAGCAGTGGGCTGTTGACCAGTGGAACTGCGTTCTCTAGTGATGGAGCTCCATGCAGTACCTTTAGGATGAGTTGGTGTGGAGTTTGTGATCCAGAACTAATCATCCAACATCAGTACCTGACCTCACTAATGCTCTTGTGGCTGAATACAATCACTCACAGCAATGTTCCAACCTCTAGAGTAAAGCCCTTACAGAAAAGTCGAGACAAACTCCCTTTCATTTTAGAAGAAGTGTTGGATGAGTGTCAATGTGTACAAACACAAGTTGGCGATAGGGGGCGCTACTCCTTCAGTCTGTAAAAAGGCCAACTTCTACTCACAGACATCATCACTAGCATAACATTTCTGACTCAGAAAGGACCAGTGTGTCTCGGTCAGGATGGAGGAAGACCCGGAGGCAAGTACAGAGGACAGAACGAACAGGACGAGTAAAATGTCGAGTTTGGACAATGGAGGCCTGTCCCACTCTACACTGGCTTATGACAAGAAATTTGTGTGCTCTCCGCCAGGCGTGCTTATGTTTGCAGAAACAGTGAGTAGCCTACATTCTCTAAAAATGTAGTGTATTATAGAGAGAGTAGGAAGTGTATAGAAACCAACTAAACTATGGTTTACAGTTAGTAACAAAATACACAATAAACTGAATTAACTGAGCAATGAGGCTGTGTAAGTGTAAGAGGTTAACTAAAGTCTATGGGCTACTGGACCTGTCACGTGATGCATGATTGACATTGTCCTTATGTCTTTGTAATAACTGTAGTGGTAATGATAACTTTAGTGGTAATAATAACTGTAGCATAACACCAAAATAAACTAACATGATATATATTGTATATGTAAGTTGCACAAATAGGTTCTAATTAGAAGTGGAATAGCTGAAATCATGTTCTGTCCTGCTTTTTACTACTAGCAAAGACTGAAACTGGCAGAGATGTGTTCTTTCTGCTATATACAGAACATACAGATGTTCTGTTCACGTGCTATAGAGGCGCTAGTGAAATGTGTTGTGAGCATTAATATGGCCATGTAAGCGTTTTACAGCCAGGCTGTCTACTATTGGTTAATCTATTTAGTTCAGCCGATATCAGGAATTTCAAACTTGGATTTAATGAAAAGGAGGGGCAGCCGGATTCCACAGAGCAGAGGAAGTGGACAAACCAAAACAGCTTGGCAAACAGACTCTTCCTCTCTCCCTTATTGTTCGCTTTCCTTCCACAATCCATTCTGAATCTCATCCAAGCATTGACTCAGTGTTTAATCTCCAGCTAGGCATATCTGCCGACTCCAAAACAACTTTTCCTGTGATACCAAGCTTTCAGTGAGGAATTCTTTGTTTCTTGTAACAGGATGGAAGGCTGGGTGTGTATGGGTGAAGACAGGAACCTATTAGTCAGAACTTAGAATTTATACAGTTTACAGCAATAAAAGCCACATAAGCAGACACTGGGTCATTTTATGCACTGATGGATCAGAATACAAAACACTAAACTGTGAAGAGCAAGGGGGTCTCCAGGAACAGGGTTGGAAACTACTGATCTAAGCTCTGTGTTGGGAAAGTTAGCCCGTGAAGTTCAAAATCTGTACAATAAACTTCAGCCTTTTCGTATGATGCACTTGTCATATAATGATCAGTCCCATTTTTCTTGCGTTACATTTTTATGTGATTGACATATGAACTACATTACTCTATGGCAAAGGTCTGTCTTCATTGTGTCCTCAGGTGTGTGGGCTGCTAGTGTGGACTCTTCTAGGTGGGACAGAGTATTTGCATGTGCCTGCACTGGGCTGGGTGATGTTTGTATCAGTGGTCTGCTGGGTGCTGACCGTCTGCCTCTTCCTACTGTATCTGACCACAGCGCACACCAAGATACCACAGGTGCCCTGGACAGTGCTTGTGAGTAGATTCAACTCAAATCCTAAGAGCCACTTGTGGAATTATAGGCCAGGAAATGAATTTGAAGATGGTGTGCGTGCATGCTGACCTACTGTATGTGTAATAGTGGACAATATCAGAAATTAATGTGGGCTCGGGGCAAAAATGTCCCTAAGATTATAAATGCAAGAGTAAAAATACCCTTGTAAGAAACCTATAAAAGATTAATTAAAAAGAATTAATTATTTTAGGTAATCTACAGAGATGGCAAGTGAAGTATGATTTTAGTATCACTGCAGTCACCAAGGAGACCTGGGGCTGATACTTTAGTCCACATTATATTTAAAAAAAAAACACTGAATGGTTCAGCAGCATTAATGTAAATGATATATGTGAAACATGCAGTTTTTTGTTTTATTAAAATATTTGGACACATTTGTAAATATGTTGCAACATCAGTGGAGAACAGATATACTGTATAACACAATAAGAACAGCCTATAAAACAAACTGTGAGTACAGCAAAATTAGCATCACCCTTTGAGGCATGAAGGCTCAAATCAAATCCAGAAGGGCAAAAACTACCTGAGATTCTTTTCACAGGGTTTGTGCTTCAACAGCAGTGCTGCTGTTCTTTACATGACCGCTGCAGTGATAAATGCTGCTTCTGTGACTCATGCCACTAGGGGCCGCTATTACTACATCAGCTGGTTGGCTTCCACGGTAAGAGGAGCATCACTCCCTCTCAACAGCTTCTCTGATTAGTTTAGCACAAGCTACATTTACTGACTTGTGACTTTAAGGACACATTTACCATAAAGCTTTCTCCTTCTTTTACACAATCCTTTCACAGCATTTGGATACAAGATATGATATGCATGTATAAATATGAATTGTTTTGTGGGGTAAAAGGGTTAAAACCTAACAAAGGTGAGGCTTATGATTAGAGTTAGGATCAGGAAAATCCTGACTTGGGGTTTAGGTTATAGTTCTAAGCAAGTTATGAGTCCTCACAAAGATATAAAAATAATATGTAAGTGTGTAATTTTTCCAGTGAGAATGGTAAATACCTGATTTGTTTCCTTACACAGTTTCTAATGAACATGACGAATGCTAATTTTATAATCATTTTCTCATTTTGTTTTTTAGGTATTTGCCTTCTTGGTTGTGCTTTGTTATGCAGCAAATGCATTTGTGAGCTACAAATCTTGGAGATCAAAAAGTGATGATTCCTGATCTGAAGGGTGCTTGAAAAAATTAAACAACTAGAATTACCATTTAGAAGCATCTAACTTTTATCATATGAAACTTTATAATCCATATGTTTTAATGGCCTTTTATCAAATGTAAATGTTTTAGGATGTAATATTTGTTTTTGTGATCTTTTTCAGAACTGTACTCTGTTGTACTCCTCAAAGACTTTTATAATGTTTTGTACAGTTTGGTAGTTATAGAAAAAACAGATTATTTTTTAAGTTAGCATAGGATGCCCCTCTATCATGCATATTTGAATTGTTTTTTTGTATTTATATTTAGTGTTTGTAATAGTACACTGTTCTTGTAAATATGGTATATTTGTGTATGTTGGAAGTGAAGTGTATATAACACTGAACTGTGCAATAAAAAACAAAATATAAATTGCATGTATATTGGCTGAGTCCATAAAGTATTGCTAACACAATTATTACCTAATGCTGTCATCTACAGCTAAATTTCACCATGAATCCTAAATGCTAAAATAAAAGACATTCTTTTTTACGTTGGTTTCAAATAACACTACACTCACACAGTACTGCACCACAGCTGAAGTGTTTAGCAGAGGGAATTCCACCTACTTTTCCAAATTTTTGCATAATTAAATGGTTAAGATGTAAACAGTCATTCAGAGTGGTTTGATGAGAAATGCTCTTTTCTAGAGATACTTAATGAGTCAGAATTGTTCACAGTGGTGTGATAGGAACCAGATGTCTAAAGAGTTTAATGCATAAAGGATCCCTCACAGAAAGTTATTAAAAAAAACTTTCTGTGAGGAAAAACAGTCAACAGATTTTTTTCCAGATTCATCACTATTTTAATACTATCAACAGTGCATGTAAGTTTAGATGCATGTAGATTCACTGGTTGTTTTGGATAATTAATAAAATGGCTACACTTGCGTTGTGTGCATTGTGAGTCCTGGTTCCTATCACCACCTTTAAAAAGAAATATGAGTCTGTAACTTTCTCTATAATTAACTATTTCACATCAAAACACTCTGAATGACTTTCAATACATGTCTACGATTGAATCATGCAGAACATTTGAAAAAATCTGTGTAAAATATCCCTTATGATCAGTAGAGAAATCACAGAAAAACATAGTAGACTCAGCACCTGAACACTCTCAGTAGCATATTCAAATCAAAAAATATTGTGATATAAACAGTTCAGAACACTTGGCAAATGAACACACATTCTTCTACTCAGTCTGTGGAACCATTATTAATAAGTACTATTTAATGGCCATTTAGAGGTCCTTCTATTTTGAGCTCAATCTTACCATTTAATTTCATGAGGCCTGTGTCAATCTTACTCCTGCAAAAGAATCTAGCCTCTATTTTCCTGTCCTGTCTAGACATATTCAGATATAATGTATCACTCTTGTGTACACAACAAATTGCAGAGCATCATTTAAAATTAAAGCATTTTAAAATGAAAAAGGTGGGATCGCAGGGGGTGGTAGGAGTGAAAATGACCCCACGGGCAGTTCTTCAGCACCTCCAACAAAAATACTTTTCTAAATAGTAAAGCATCTAAAGTACATCGTGTTGTGCCCAGCAGAGCTGCCTGACTGGTACAAGTCTAGAGATGTACAACAACAGGTTGCAGAGAAGCTGAGCTCTCACAGGTAGCATGTTAACATGATGATGAAACTTGAAGGAAATCTAATTAGCTTCTGCCAGACTGTGAGGAAAAAAAATGCTGTATTATTCTTTTTAAATTCTTCACAGCAAACATTAAAATGACAGCTTCTTTAAAATGCAGTTAGCAAAGTAATATCATCACACAAAGATTATTTGCTTGTTATGTAGCAAAACATCACCATTTTCCATACAGCCTATTCATTTCACAGCTCATTACAAAAAAAAGTCATGTACAATAACACATATATTCCAAACCACGAGCTCCTTGTGAAAGTAATGACAGTGAAAATGTCCATCAGCTGATCAGTGGGCGGACTGTATTCAGAAGTCTGCAGGTCGGATCATCATGACTGTAGCACACAGAGAGTAGCTGGACCCTTTGAAATAGTGCCACTTAATGCCATCAAATTTGCCAGTGTTCTTCCCATTAGAATAGTACATGCCATTAAGATTTGATGGGCCACAAGCATCAAACCACCAGCCTTTATGAAAACAGACCACACAAAAATGAAGAATGAGCTGCAATGGGGAGGAAAACTCATGCATGCTCTGTCCCAGATTAATGACTATCAACAGGTAAGATCTTAAACAAGTCTGCTTTACTAAATGGAGACAAATCAGAGAGTAGAATGCATGAATATTTTGAATAATTGCTTTTTCTGGTTTAAGTGTGGTGCACTGACTGTTTTTTTGCTAACTGTGACCCGCAGAATAAAGTAACAACATTGAGATGATTTACAAACACAGTATTAAAATGAAGAGTAGATGTTGTTGAAAATGTGCTCAAAGATTCCACTGTTAGCACAAATGCCAACTTCGTTAATGTTCAGCAATGTTATTTACATCGTAAAGTTTACTTAAAATTAAAAGTAAATCTATTTAAATGCTGCCTACTATCATTTTTGTTCAGTGAAATGTTCAATCAGAGTGTGCTTTAATAAAAGAATCTATTTGGAAGCAGCATGTACATGGACACAATTTCAGTTATGATTTACTAAACATCAGAATATGTATTTTTGTAAATATACTAGACTTATGGATGTTACTGTTATTTCGATGCCAAGGAAATATGATTGAGGCAACATGGGAACATTCCCATGAAAATATTAATGAGGAAACACAGGACCCTGGGAATATTGGATTATTTCCAAAATTATAAGGAGGCAACACAGGGCCTGGGGACCATACGGCCCTTGAAACATAAGGCTGTTTCAATAATTTCATTAATAAAATAAAGGGGCCAGGAAACATAGAACCCCGGAAACATAGGATGACCCCCCCACCAGTCACCCACATTCAGCACACAGGTGAGATGCAGGTCACTGTGCTAGTGGCCATTCAAAAGAATCTTACAGTGATGCTTCAGCTAAAAATATTGCAATATCCCAAATAAAGTTTGTGTACAATGTTTGCTTCCTTTTTCTTAACTGGAGTTACAAAGCTAATGTAGCTAACAAGCAATGGAAGCTCACACTCCATCAGTTAGTACTGTGCAAGCTACATGTCTAAATTACCAAACGTTACCCTCAAACAACCCAGTTTGTTAGGTAATCTCACATAGACTTGCTTAAAGTAAGAGGAACATTGTGCAAATGTGATTTCTGGCTAGAATGTGTCTTTAAGTTGTCTTTTAACAGAAAAAGAACCATATATACACTTGTTCTCTATGTTTAATTAACTGTTGAATCACATATCAGATACAGCTGTGTATGAGAGTGACTCTGGCTTGATTCTTTGCATTAGCTGCACTATTGATAATGGAGAACAACAACATCAAGTGTGGAAAGCTAGAGATCTACTGTTACATGTTGGCTATCATCCCAGATGTTACTGGGGCTCATGAGGTCTTAGCGAGATTTTACAGCAATGTGAATGAACTTGTGTTGCTGTGTGAAACTGATCAGGCATTACTTACCCCCAGTAAGCATGAGGGCACATTTGCAGATGCAGTTGTCATTGTCCACATCTTTGGTACTGAAATCAGCTCCATTTATTACTAAACTGCTCTGCCTGCCAGCACTTCCACTGTGACTCTTCAGAAACAACCTGAGAAACAGAGATTATACATGCATTTTATAGCAACCATCTAGAATTAATTTAGCCAATTCTGCCAGGTGCTATTGTTAAGGGGCGAGGCTGTACTGTTTCTATTATACTACTCTTTAATGTCATTTTTATGTGAACAGGCCTGAGGCTGTAGTCCATGAGCGCTATACTAGGGAGTAGCATATGGATCCTGGAGTGTTTTGTTTATCTGCACCCTGAAGAAGACTGCTTTATCTCCCCCATTTATCTTAATAACAACAGGCAACATTCCATAATAAGGAGGAAATTATATCTGACAAATTATGTGATAATGCTGGCAAAGATTATTTTTATCCAGATGGTAATTCATAATACATTAATTTCCAGCTAGGGCAGCTGATATGATACTTTTATACCTACCTGGTATTTTGCAGTTGTCTCTTAAGTGCTGAAAGATGAACAGCACCATTTGCTTGATCATAGAACAGATATTTTAAACACACTGCGTTCAGTCAAAATGAATGGAATACTGGAAATAATGATCAAAGCAACTAAACATGCCGTTGTTTGGAATACAGCATACACAGATTTGGTTTAAGCAACTTTGCTATGAATTACCATTTTAAAAGTGATGGAATAAAGAGAGCCTGGACTTGGAGGCTTTTGGTAATTTAACTTGTACAACTTTGTACAGCTGCTAGAGAAGGAGTCTCAAAGTGTTTAGATTTCTGAAATAATTCATAATTTCCAAATCAATCATTATGCCAATATAATTTAGTTTACAATTTTATTTATCACAGTGTTGATCATTAAAACCTGTTTGTTCCAATGTCTCCATTAGTATGAGGACATGATGAGGTATGTGAATGCGAGTGTGTTTGTTATTGGGAATTTGGTTTGGTATGAGGAGCAGGTGGTGAAGCGGTGATAGTGTCACTCAGGAATAAAGTAATGTAGGTCACTTTATTGCACACACACAGCTCTCAGTGGCCAGGATGAGGGACCAGTCTGGGTCTTTTTGCACAACCTTTAGAATGTATGTCATACGACCCAATTAGCCTACATAAGATGAAAATATATACTAATCGTGCTTTTGTTTAACATGTGTTCTGGCTTTTAGTTGGAGTATGATAAAGGTGCATTGGCTGCTCCATATATATATAGGGGAGAGAGTGGGATTGATTGGCACAGCATTAACTTTAAGGTCATTAGGGGGGACTCTCACAAAAATGTAACATAAAAATAATTGCCCTCTTCTCCAACTTGGCCTGTAAGTTGTGAACAGAGATATTGAAAAACATGTTAATTGTTGTCAGTTGAAATGCCAATCAGCTATATTTTGATATATGGTTTGAAAGCCAAGGATAAGTCATGCCAGATTGCCAACACTATGTAAATGCAGAATTATGACCTGAAGTGGATGAGCACTTTGATTTTGGGGGTTGGCTGGCACATGCCATAGCTATTGTCACAAGCATATATTATATTATTTTATATTACACACTACATACACACTAAACATACTGTTAAAATCAAACATTACTAACACTATTAAAAAACATTTTTGTTTCAATTTAATGTTCACATTTGTGGTTTAGTTTAAATTAAAAGCACTGATTGTTTCCATTAGTTGCTTCCTTCTTTAAATTGCAGCCTTTTAACATTTAATGTCAGGACTGGTTGGAACACAAAATTACACAATATGAATTTTGTCATAAGTACAGGAACTCTTTAATGACATTGACAGTGTTTGTTTTTTAGCAAAGATGTTAAGCTTTCATTTACTGCTAGTTGGGTTATCCTGTAGTCGGCCTGGGATATAAGTGAGAGAGCAAAACTGTGCCAACCAACCCCACTCTCTCCAACTTTACTTAAACACTGCAACATGGATCACAGTG